AAAAAAAAAAACAGGTGAAGAAAAGCCATAACTGAAATTAGGAGCTAAAAATAACAAAAATATAGGAGCTCATTTTAGTTAATTTATTTTAAAATTAGGAGGCGGTCTTCCGGTCCCCTGCCGCCATCCGGCGATTTCTCTATTAGAGGAGCCCCCGCATGCCTCACTCTCTCCTCAGAGATACACCTTCGAGGGAGTGGCTTATCAATACACGGTCCTTCCCTTTGGACTGTCCGTAGCTCCTCGCACTTTTACGAAGTGCATGGATGTGGCTCTTTCCCCACTGAGACAGATGGGAATCCGCATTCTGAATTACCTCGACGGCTGGCTCATTCTGGCCCAGTCGGAGGACAAGCTAGATTTTCACAGATCCTTCCTCCTCAGCCAATTAGAATGCCTGGGACTCTGGGTCAATTTTGCCAAGAGTGCGCTGTCCCCCAGCCAACAGATATCGTTCTCGGGAACAGCTCTCGACTCAGCCTAAATGAGGGTGGTAGTCGTGCCAGAACGTGCACTGGCCATTCAGCAGCTAGCGGCCTCATTCAAAATTGGAGCCTCTCACCCTCTCTCAAGGCGTTTAAAAAGATGCTGGGCCTTATGGCCTCTGCGTCTCCAGTACTTCAGTTGGGCCTGCTTCGCATGCGGCCCCTTCAGTACTGGCTGAAACCGCGTGTTCCACCCCACGCCTGCCGTCTCGGACACCTGCGTGGCAGCTCTGGGCTTTTGGAAAGACCATCAGTGGATGGAACGGGGCATGCCTTTGGAAATGGTCTGCAGAAGGAAGGTGGTCTCGACAGACGCTTCCAACACAGGTTGGGGAGCGCTGTGCGACGGCAAACTGGCTTTCGGCCACTGGTCGAAAGAGGAGGGTCGGCTTCACATCAACTGCCTGGAAATGCTAGCAGTATGTTTGGGCCTTTGCACCCTTCTGCCAGCCCTAAGGGGACACCACGTCTTAGTCCGTTCGGACAGCATGACGGTGGTGTCTTATATAAATCACCAGGGCGGTCTCTCCTCGAAGCGCCTCTTCATTCTGGTAGAGCGCCTCTTGGAATGGGCTCAGCTCAACTTGCATTCACCGAGAGCAATGCATGTGCCGGGCAGGCTGAACCAGAGAGCAGACATGCTATCTAAGAGCAATGTCCCCTCGGACGAGTGGATGCTCCACCACCACAAATGGTTCACAGAATCTGGGAGATCTTCGGCAAGGCAGAGGTCGACCTCTTCGCCTCAGAAGACAACTCTCATTGCCAAACTTATTTTTCGAAGGACAAGGATGCATTGGCCCACGACTGGCCCAACCTCCCCCTTTACGCTTTTCCCCCGATCGCCCTGATCCCACAGGTAATCAGACGAATCAGGGAACGGAAGCACAGGGTTCTGTTAGTGGCCCTGCTCTGGAGGAACCAACACTGGTTCCCAGAGCTGTCTCGGCTGCTCTCTGCAGCCCCGTGGCTTATCCTCCTGAGACAGGACCTCTTCTCTCAGGCTAACAGAACAATATGATACCCACAGCCAGAGCTGTGGGCTCTGCACCTTTGGCCTCTCGATGGGAGCCTGCGGACCTCTCCGAAAGCGTGCTAAATACAATCTCTTAGGCTAGGGCACCGTCTATGAGATGACTCAATGCTCTTAAATGGTCTGTCTTCTCCGCCTGGTGTACAGCCCGCGTTTTTTTTCCTGCGTCACATCTCTGATATTGTCATTCCTGCAAGAGCTGTTGGATAAGGGCTGTTCCCCCTTCCACGCTCAAGGTCTATGTAGAAGCCATAGCAGCCTCTCATGCTCCTATAGCTGGCCAATAGGTGGGCAAGAACAACCTAGTTGTTTGGTTTTTGAAGGGGTCTAGGAGGCTCAACCCGCCTTGGTTATACAATACTTGATCCCTCTGGGCCCCTTTCTGTTGCTTAAGGCAAGTTCAAGTATTTTCGTTCCTCTAGCATAGCACGGCAGGATTGTACTGGTTTCCCCATATTCATATTAAGCAAGACGCAGTACGAGCGAAGTATCGATAGGGAATCGATACGCAGTACGAGCGAAGTATCGATAGGGAACTTACTCGGTTACTAACGTAACCTCGGTTCCCTTAAAGGGGTGGTTGATTGCGATTTCACTTTTTTAATGTTAGTTAGTGTGTAATGTTGCTGTTTGATCATAAACAATATCTGCAAAGTTACGAAGCTGAAAGTTCAATGCAAACACGGGAATGAGTACTGCTTTGCTGGCCATGCTATGTAGCTGCACGACTCAGGATCCTCAGGTTACTTCGACTGAAGCGACGACTATGGCGAAATGCCTGCTTATATAGCCAGATGGACCCGCCCATTCTGGCAGGCTTCGTTGCCATAGGCTCGTGCAGCTCCGCTACCGAGCCATTGGTTAGTATTTAATTCACTGCACGAACCAATGGCCGTGCAGTTACACTGCGTTATTGAAAAGGCTTCAGTCATCGGAGAAAAAGGAGTTTTCCCCATAG